ACACTGCTGGTGGGAATGTAAACTAGCTCAACCATTGTGGAAAGCAGTATGGAGGCACTTCAAAAACCTAAAAATAGAAATACCACTTGACCCAGGAATTCCACTCCTAGGAATATACCCAAAGAAACCAAGATCTCAGATTCAAAAAGACAGATGCACCCCTATGTTTATCACAGCACTATTTACAATAACCAAGATATGGAAGCAACCTAAGTGTCCATCAGTAGATGAATGGATAAAGAAGATGTGGTACATATACACAATGGAATATATTCAGCCATAAGAAGAAAACAAATTCTACCATTTGCAACAACATGGATGGAGCTAGAGGGTATTATGCTCAGTGAAATAAGCCAGGTGGAGAAAGACAATTATCAATTATTTCACTCATCTGTGGAGTATAAGAACAAAGAAAAAACTGAAGGAACTAACAGCAGCAGACTCACAGAACCCAAGAACTCAACAATTACCAAAGGGAAAGGGACTGGGGAGGATGGGTGGGAAGGGATAAGGGGGAAAGGGGGCATCACGATTAGCACATATAATGTGGTGGTGGGGACAGAGGGAAGGCAGTATAACAGAGAAGACAAGTAGTGATTCTACAGCATCCTACGCTGATGGACAGTGACTGTAATGGGGTATGTGGTGGGGACTTGATAATAAGGGGAGTCTAGTAACCATAATGTTGCTCATGTAGTTGTACATTAATGATAGCAAAATAAAAAATAAAGAATAAAGCCAGGTATCTTTAGAATATCTTTTTATAGGGGTTTCCTCATGATTAGATTCGTGTTTTGCTTTTTTGGGGGGCTGTTACTGTGTTAAGAGTTTTCATCTCCTTAGGGTGTCACACTAAATGCCTGTTTTCCCCTTACTCTTGATGTTAACCTAGATCATTTGGCTGGTATGTTGTGTAGTCTCTCCACTGGGTGTTCTTTTTACTTTTACAACTAATAGGAATTTTGTGGGGAGATTCTTTAAGTAAATATCTTGTGCATATTCTGCCCATCACCACCACCTCTAGCACCCCTCCTTTAGTATCCAGTTAAGATTCTTGCTTGAGTCTTTTTACCATGATGGTTGCAAAAGAATACTTCTTCTTTTTTTAGGTTTTTTATTTTTTATGATTGAAGTACAGTAGATATACAATACTATATTGGTTTCAGGTATACAACATAGAGATTCGTGACTTTTTATTTAACTCCATGATTTTTCTGTATTAGGTCTACTGTATCAATATGGGCTCATAGGTTTCTGTTTTATTAAATGGGTTATAATCTGTTATGATTATTATTTTGATCAAAGTATCCCAGATTTGTCCAGCAAGAGCCCCCTCAAGTTGACTCCTGTATCCTTTGGTGTGCCCTGGCCATTTTGGGGGAGCACATCCTTACCTTCTGGAGCAAAATGTTTGTTACATGCTCATCTTTTACCTTCCCTAACCAGCTCTGGAATCAACTATTTCTTCAGGGAGCCTTGGTTTCTTTTCGGATAGGAGTAGAATTTAGAAACCAAGATCCTGGGCACTGTTAAGTATTTTAAAAGTCTGAGTTTAACTTGTTAAGCTAAGACCTGTCTCCAAAAGGATGTGTGCACTCAGTAGTACCCAGAAGCTTCCATTTGTTGCATTCTTGTTCGGTGCCAGGCACTATGCTACTGCCAATAGATCCTTCAGTCATCACAGGACCTCTCTGAGGACAGGCGTCCAGATGCCCAGGGTGACCAGGCATGGACAGAGCAGACCTACACTCAAGTCTTTGGTCTTAGTCTGTAAAGATGAGGTGCGGAGGAATAAACCTGCTAGATCCTGTTGCCTCCGACCTGTCAGACCCTGAGCTCTGACTGTTACATTTCAGGCAGGCAAATGGATTAGAAGGGATCAGAGGAAAAGAAGGCTGTTCTATTTTTTTCTTTAATTTTTAAATTTTTATTGAAGTATCATTGATGTACAGTCTTAATTGGTTTCAAATATACAACACAATGGTTCAGTAGTTTCCGGTATTATTAAATCTTCACCCCCTCTAGTGCAGTTACTGTCTGTCAACATGGGAAGATGTTACAGAACCATTGAGTTTATTCTTTATGCTGCCCTACCATCCCTGTGACCAATTTATATTATGATTGAGAATTTTTGTGCTCCCCTCCCACCCACCCCAACCCCTCCTCTGTGGTTACCACTAGTCATTTCTCAGTGTCTATAAGCCTACTGCTGTTCTGTTCATTCTGTTTTGCTTTGGTTTTATATTCCACAAACAAGTGAAAAATATGGCATTTGTCTTTCTCCACTTGGATTATTTCACTGAGCATAATACCCTCTAGATCCATTCATTGCTGCAAATGGCTGGATTTCTTTTTTTTAATGGCTGAATAATAAGAAGGCTCTATTATTAAAAGAAGGGGGTAGGGAAAAGTGAAAAAGAAACCAGACATTTGCTGAGTGTTTTCTGTGTGTCCCGCAAGAGGGATGTTGTGATTGACAGTCCTGAAGCACCCCAGTGTTGCTTTGTAACCCTCGAGCTAGTGCTGTCTTCTTAGTCCCAGATGTGTGGGGAAATTCCCACAATTTTGACTGTACTAAGATCTCTCCCCCAAGATGTCGTTTCAGTTCGGTGTCTAGTGTATGACATCTGTATTCCGTTGTGGCTGTTTGGGAAAGTTGAGTAAACTGGTTGTTGCTGCTTGATTTTCTTTGAAACCCAGTTCACTTAAGTTGTTGCCTTGGGCCTATGATGCTGACACAGCTCAGACCTATAATAAGCTTCATGGTTAGGTGGGACTGGGGGGCTGTGCACACAGCCGTTTTTCACTGGTGCTGCAAGGAAGGCCTGAGAGCAATAGCGGACCTGGTTATTAGGGTTGTAACAGGAGTCAAATGATACTGGACTGGTTCCTGCTTCAAGCAGGACACGTGCCATTTGTGACTAATACAAATGGTCTTACATAACAGCCTCTGCCAGGAGTTCTCAAAGCAGCAGAGCCTGACAGAGGCAGGAGGGAGACGTACCAAGATGTGTTGGGGAAGTGGCTTAGTGGGGGCACAGCCCCCAAAACAGACATTTTAACTATCATTTAGGTTCACCATTTACCGAGCTTTTGATATGTGCTAGGTGATAGGAATAGCTCTGAGATATAGCCATCTTGTTTAATTTGCCTCTAACATTTTTAGGAAGTGTGGTTAAAGTGTGGGTTTAGAGTCAGACCTGAATTCAAACCTGGCCAGGCCACATAGGGGCAGTGTGACCTCAGGCAAGAGAACCGTGGGCAAGGGCGTGGCCTCAGGACAGGTCCGCCTCTGTGCAGTTTGATCTCTCAGACAGTGGGGACAGTGATAGTATCTACCCAGTAGGATCTTGTGGTTTTCTGTGAGTTACAATGTGAAGTTGCCTGGAACACTAATGAGGGCTCAGTGAAAGGTGGCTCTGTTTTACTTTCCTCACATTGCAGGTAAGGGAACTGAGGCTGCAGTTCCTCCGACATGTGGCAGGGCCATGCCTCAAATATAGGTCCCAGGCCTGTTCTGTCTGAGTTTAGTCACAGGAGTGGCTGATATTTGTGAGCCTGGGTCGGACCCAGATTTCTCTCAAGTAGTCCAACTATATCATAACCACAACAATAGCACATTCACCTGTGGTACCTGAGCTATGCTGTTCTTTAAGGCAAGAACAGGATGGCAGGGATTGAAAGCATGTATGGACTTTTGTTAAGAAACTGGAGGTGTTGAGCCTGGAGCAGATTTATGGGAAACTTGAGCCCTGTTGCCTGTGATTGGAGCTCAGCAATGGGTTGAAGGTCTGGAAGCCATTCCAATTGTGTAGATGTTGGGGGGTTGCCAAGAGTTTTGTTAGTCTTTTTGAACACTGGGTGCTCAAGCAGAGACCGGGTGACCAGTTAGCACTGGGAGAAAAGAGCAAGTGAATATAAGCCAAAGGCAAACGGAATACAGGGACTTGGTCAAGAAGCCAGTCAGAAATCTGGGGAGACGGCACCCCTCTCTACAATGTGGATTTGACCCATAAATTATTATCCTCTTCCATCCAGAAGACTCACAAAATAAGCTACTTTTTCAGAAATGCTAGCTAGCTTGGTAGAAGTGCAGTTCTCTGCTTTCTTGGGCAGACGTGCCTGTAGAGATTGGCACAAGCAGGTTTGTGTCACCTTCCCATGCCAAGCCAGTCTGGTCTCACCTCCAGGCTCCCTGCCCTTCCGTCCTATAGTTTATCCAGTTCGGCACATTCATCTTTTCAAAGTGCTGCCCCTATCCCTACTCATCCTTCCTCTGTCCACAAACTTGAGTGACCCCCGTAGTCTCCAAGGTGGTGCCCCTGTCCTGGTCATAATCCCACCGTTCCCGTCCTTGCATCCTGTAGGTTCCTTCCCATGTGTCCCGTCTTTGTGCAGGCTCTTGCCTCCTGCCTCTGATACTCTGGACCCTTCGTACAGGCACTGCCACCTCTGCTTCTCAGTCTTGCCTTCTAGAGCAGACACTCGCGGGGATAGGAGCCTCCTCTGGTGCGCGCTTGTGATCTTGATGGTTCCTTTGCAGTCCTTGTGCTGGGTAGATGCAGGAGAGGTCACAGAGTTTGGGCACTCAGTTCAAAGCTGCTTTCAGCTGCAGTTTATCACCACTGAGAGCGCTTCACGTGCTGGCAGGGTAGGCAGTGTAGCAGTTAGGGTCTGGAGCCAGGCTCTCTGGGATCCAATCAGGAATCCCTGCATTCTGTCTCTTTGACTTTGGATGAGTACTTGGTTCTTTTTACCTGTAAAAATGGGAATGTTTATACCTGGAGGTGCTGTGAGAACCCTGTGAGGTGTGCTTAGCACAGCCCTGGTGCACGCAGAAGTCACTGGTATTCCCACTGGCTTTGCCCGGCTGCTTTCTTTCATGTTAGTTCCTGCATTTCTGGACTTCCCTACCACCAGCCAAGGCTGCCCCTCTTGGTGTGCCCTTGTCCTCCACTGGTGCTGCTGCCCTTACTGATGAGCTGGTGATTCCCTTCCAGATGTCCAACATCACAGTCACATACAGAGATGGCCGAGTGGCACAGCTGGAGCAGGTATACATCCGTGGCAGCAAGATCCGCTTTCTGATTTTGCCTGACATGCTGAAAAATGCACCCATGTTGAAGAGCATGAAAAATAAAAACCAAGGCTCAGGGGCTGGCCGGGGAAAAGCTGCTATCCTGAAGGCCCAAGGTAGGTGCTCCTTGTGCACTGGTTTTAACATAAGGTTTGTCATGTATCTTTTAGGAAAGGGCCCTGTTATTGCCTGGGCTGGGGGTGGATTTGACCTCAACTCTCTCCAAAGCCACTGCCTTTCCATTCCCTGCAGTCTTGGGAGCCCTCGGGGGCCCTTCCCTTCTCTGTGGTGCTTCGCCTGATGGCATTCATAGGGCTTATGCAAAATCCAAAGTGGTTCCTTAGAATAAAGATGGGGGTTCTTGTCTTAAATGAAAGAGTAGATAGGTCTCCTGTAATGACTTTCTAGGAGACCCTATGTTTCCAGAAACTCCCTGTAGGGTTCTGGGGGAGTTCGTTCTTGTCTTGTTTCCTAAGCAGGGGCACTGTGGTGTGGATTAGCTGGCATGGGGCAGCACTTCCCAGAGAGGCTGGGGTATGTGTTGACACCCAGCACAAGTGGGGACAGTGTTGACAGTGGGGATCCATTTTCAGATAAGAAGTAAGTTTTAAGCTATCTTTACCCTTTAAAGGGGGCTGGACTTCTATTTCCAAAGCTTCTCATAGTTGAAAATAAATCCCTCCTTTAGCACTTCCAAAAGTGGGACTAGTCTTTTTCCAGTGACTTACTCTGGCCTTTCTTTTGCGTTGGGTCAATCAGAGGTTTTACATTTGGTTCTGTGAAGAGTTCTGCCATACTGATGAGCTTCTTAGCTAATTTCCTAAGAAGTGCAGTTGTTAGAAATTGTCATAGTATTGATTTGTAAAAAGATTTACGGTACAGGAAAGTTAGTAGATTCTCCATCAGTATTTTGGCTGCTGTACCTATTTTGTATATGAGGTGACTTTGGTTTAAAGGTGCAATAGAGTAATCCCTTAAAATGCCCCCCAGAAGAACTGATCAGACTCTCCTTGCCCTTTCTAGACAGAGGCTCTGGACCTTGTCCTGGAGAAGGAATGGTTTTCAGAAACGCCAGCTAGTTTGTTAGAACTGCTGTTCTCTGCTTTCTCAGGGAAGGGCTGCTCTCACTGTCACATATAACTGCACTGTCTTCTCTGGCAGAAGGTGAAGCCCAGCAGCTGGGCATCAGAAGGCACTTGGCACTGAGTTTGCCTGAGCCATCTGTGCCTCTCCAGCTCCTTGCTTCTGGCCCTGTCATCATGTGACTGGGTTCTTGGGTGACTTCCCTGCCTCCTCAGGTTGGCCATAGGCTCTAATAGAGGAGAAAGAGATGAGTCTCCAGTTAGTAGCCATCAGAATATTTTTGCCTGTCCTCCCAAGCCACTGTCCCCACCAAGAACACTTGGGTCACAGAGAACAGCAGTCTTTGTATGGGGAGTGGTGTTGTTTTTTTGTGTTTTGTTTATTTGTTTTGCTATTATAAAACATTTGTTTCATACATGTAGGATAACTCAAAGAGTAATAAAACTCCTCACTCAGATTTCTAACATGTTAACATTAAACTATTTGTTTTAGAATTTTAAGTGTAAATTAATCTGTGAAGTTTTATGAGCTTGCTCTAAGGCTGCTCTGGGAATTCATCTTTCCTATGGTTCTCAACACTTGCTTCCCAAACCACCTGACCTCAACAGGCTGCCTCCCAGCTTCTTACAGAGAACAGGGCAGGGCCAGAATGCGGGAGCCTGGTGCCGCTGCAGCGCTGACACCAGGTGCCAGTTCTTGGCTCTCTGCACGGTGGGGACATGCGATGGGGTTGGCATGGTGTTGGACCAGGTGGCCTTTCCGGCCCTGTTCTGGGGCTCCGGCTGCTCCGTGGCATGCGCTCACTGACCCGGCTTTGTCCTTTCTCTTCCCCACCTTTCAGTGGCTGCAAGAGGAAGAGGACGTGGAATGGGACGTGGAAACATCTTCCAGAAGCGAAGATAAATTGTCTGTTGAATAGAACTTTGCTCTTATTTTTTCTTTTAGATTATCTGGGTTCATGGCAGGTGCGTGCTTATGTGTATACTAGGTTTTCTTTTAGCATCTTTCTTTAGATCAGGGTAAATGTTTCACTAAATAAATATAGTCTTTTTTTTCCTTTCTTTTTGAGAAAATAAGGACTATGTGTTCATTTTCGAGTGTGGTGTTCTGTTTGCTTTGGCAGCTGGTTAAATTTTGACACCCTGGGAGATGTCCTGCAAAAATGCCCTGCTTTGAAGTAGCACAGTTACTGATAGGAGGTTAAGCTACTGTCCCAAGGCCAGTTTCCGGTTAAGCCCTAGGAAAACTCCAGGAACATACGGACTGTCTCATTGATCTTCAGACACAGGCGTTTGTTATGGTGCTCTGTTCAGGTGACCTTTACAGAAGTGTCATCAGCTCAGCTAGGAAAGCACAACACAGGCTGGTCCTCCCCCGTGAAAAAGTCCAACAATACTCTGACCTCTGTAGCCTGGAAACACTAGTGGGTCAGCACTTGGAAAAAGTAATCTATTAAAAGGTAATTCAGAAAGTCCTAGTGGCCAACACCTGTGGCTCCTGTCCTGGCTTCATGAGCAGTTTCATATTTATTTGGGGGAACACGTTCTTGTGCTTTTATCAGATGATAACATTGTTTAGCATAACTGTGGTCTTTAATGTAGCAAAGGTAGAAAGGTTGGGCGTGCAAAGTGACATTTGTGGCAGTTGTGACACAAACACAGAAATTGGAAAAGCTGCATGAAAAAGATTACCAAAAAGAGGTCTTACCAAGGGCTCAGGAGAGGATGAACCACAGAAAAACTATTAAGAGGAAAAGGGATTGATTATTGATTGGCCCTTAGCACATTGCTCATTGGACAGATTGTTCAAGTAATCAAAGAAGAAGAAGAAGAAAGCCCAACATATCCATTAACTGTAGGGATTAAATTAACAATCTCTTTTACGATCATGACCCTGTCACGAGGAAACATCTTGTATTATTCTTATAATAAAGAACTCCCAGGAAACAGGCCTTGGTGGGCTGGTCAGATACCACAGGCACATCACATGAGGCTTCAAGCACCAGCCCCCAGGGTAACCCCTGTGCCTCTTGCTGCAGCACCCCCAGCTCCTCTGACACATTTGGGTGAAGTGTTCTCATGGTCCTGTGTTCAGTGCCAGTCCAGAGGAGGGCTTCTGGACTGGGGGCCGTTTCAGGTGAACTTACTGTGAATGGAGTTAGAGTTAGTTTGTTTTTGATTTGACCAAGAGTTGATTGTTTCTGGTAAGAAAAGATATTTGTACATTGAGTTACGTATATAGTAGATTTCTTCAAACTCTAAAAGTAGAGTTCTTTCAGGTAGAAGTTGTGGTATCCACTAGTACCCTGCGTGCATTACCTGCCCACTTCCCTGCTAGTGCCCTTTATTTGTAGACATTGAATTCTGGCTTCTTATTAATAAAGCCTACTGAGTTAGTACAGTGAGAGAACAGTGGTTGTGAGCATCACCGTGGGATCTTGTTCGAATGTAGATTCCAAGTCCACCTCCCAGAGATTCTGATGAGCTGGTCTGGCGTGGGTCCTAGGGATCTGCAGCTTAAGCAACGCCTCTGCTTCCCCAGCTAGGCAATTCTGATTCAGGACATCTGAAGCCACATTTTGGCCATGGTGTTATGTTAGTGTGAACACTACTTAAATTACCATGCTTTTACAGTAAAACTGTAATTCTTAAATAATAACATTGCATACAGTTAATAGTACTGAATTGCATCCTGGATCAGAAAAGCTGTCTTTGTTTCACCTTGGAAACCATGCAGGAATATCAACCTTACACACTGAAAACTAGCTGGAACCCTTCCTAGATCCTGAAAAGTGAAGGGGATTCTCATTTATGGTTTTCTTTCTAATGTTGACAGTAAAAATTTGGAAGTTTTAAAAAACAATGAAGAAAATTAACCTAAAACATACAGCTTTATGAACGGTATCATATCTTGCATTTTAGAAAGAAATCGGTTATTTGCACTGAAAGCAAACAGCCTTGCAAGGTTTCTTAGGAAAAGCAGCAGTCCTCTCCGCCCATCTCCCCCGTGTTCCTTGTTTCAAGGTCCCACCCCTTTTTTTTTAATTGAAGTATCATTGATATATACTCTTGTATTGTTTTCAAATGTTCAACACAGTGGTTCAACAGTTACCCATATTCTTAAATCCTTACCTCCTTGAGTGCAGGTAGTATCTCTCAGTGTCGAAAAATGTTACAGAATCTTTGTATTGTCCATGTGCACCACCATCCCTGTGACCAACTTACATTATGATTGTGAATTATTGTGTCCTTTTATCCCCCGCCTCCTTGGTGAACACTTGTTATTTCTCAGTGTCTAGTCTACTTCTTTGTTCTTTCTGTTTTGCTTTGTTTTTATACACAAGTAAGTGAAGTCATATGGTACTTGTCTTTCTCCGCCTGGCTTATTTCACTGAGCATAGTGCCCTCTAGCTCCATCCATGTTGTTGCAAATGGCAGGATTTCTTTTATGGCTGAATGATATTCTGTTATTTATGTATGTCAAGGTTCCCTTTTAACTATTGGCTGACTTGTTGGTTTTTGCCTCCACATCTCAATCTAAACATGTTTTGCACGGCTCCTCCCTGGTGTTTCTGTTTCCGGCATTGTCTTCTGACTTCTCCCTCTTATTCCTGCCCACCACGAATGTCCCGCCACCAGTCCCGCTGATAGGATTTTAGTTAGAGCATGTTCAGTGTTCTTTTGTATGTATAAATCATAGCTGAGCCATGTAGTAGACTGGATTACTTTCCTGCAGAACATTTTTTTCCCTAGAACTAATCATCCTCTTGAATTTTTATTTGCTTAGTTTCTGTCCACTTGTTAATAATTCAAACCCAGAATTCCCCAGAGACATGAACACATCATCTATTTTATCAGTTTCTTCTTGACTGGCTCTCTCTTGAGCCTAATGTGTACTGTCTTTGTGAGCAGTCCTCTGCTGAATCTCCTGTTTTCTGTGTAACCTCTTTCTCTCTTGATTTACTACCTCATTCTGGTAAAGCGCCTGCAGTAAAAGGGTGCATGGGAAGTAGTTTTTCGAGGGACTTGCATGTCTGAAAATGCCTTGATCTCTGATACTTGATTGGGTATAAGGTTTGTATTCCTTTAGAATTTTGAAGGCGTTACTTTGTCATTTAGATCTGGTGGGGAAGGGGAGTCTGAAGCTAATTCTGAGTCGCCATCCTTTGTGTGTGTCCCTGTTTCTCCCTTCTGTTGCCAGTGTTCGGAAATTTCACAAAGGCGAGCCTTGACGAAGGGCTGTGAGCCTTTTCAGAATGGACTCCCATCCTTCACTCCTGGGAACTTTCTTGAATTGTTTGTCAATGATTTCCTTCCTTTGGTTTTGTGTTTTCTTTCTGGAATTCCTGTTGAGATGTTGGATCTCCTGGACTTCTGTTTTTCTTATCTTTTCTCTCCCACCCACCAGTTTCTTGTCTTTGGATCTTCTTTATAGAAGACTTGCTCGAGTTGACTCTGAATGTTCTGTCTTTTTTTTTTTTTAATAGGACCTCATTCCATGATCATCATATTTTATCTCTGAGGCTGCCAATACGCTTTGTTGGACCTTTTATCTCCCTGCGTGATGTTTTCATCCCCGTCTTTGTTTTTCTTTGGTCTTTTATGTTACAGACTTTCCTTAGCTGTCTGGCGGTCATTGATGGTCTGCTTAAATTTTGAGAATTGGATATTGAAAAGAGTGTGTTTTGTAAGGTGAGGTGATTGAGCTTTTTTGAGTAGATTTCCAATGTCCTTCCCTTGAGGACTTTCCCCTTGGGCTGGTAATATTCTCTGGAGAAAACTCCCAGTGTCTCTTGTCAGGAGTTGGCTTTCTGGGGACTCGGTGGGGAAGATAGCTGGAGAGTCTCAGCGTCTAGGATGCCCAGATTCGTGTCATCTCCCAGGTCTCTGGAGAAGCCTCCCAGCCCAGAGACCTTTTAACCTCCTCCTCTACAGAATAAGCTTCCGACTTCCTGCCGCAGTTGGAGAGGGGCAGTCTCATGATCACGTGGAAGTCTGAATATTTAAGCACATTCTCTCTTTTTAAAAAACGTGTTTTCTTTGAAAATATTACTTTAAAGTAGAAAACAAGATAAAGAAAATATGAAACCAAGGTTGGTATGATAGAAAGATTAGAAAGATAACTAGACCAAGCTTTAAGAGATGGCTTCTGGTTGTGACTACCTCCACTGTCACTTCCCTGGAGTGGTGTCCCCTGGTTTGTTATCTATACAAGGGAGGGCTTCGACTCATTTCATCCACTGATACTGTTTCAGCTTCTACATTGACCTGCTGGGTATTCTGTAACATTTTTAAAAAATTAAATCAAAATAGAGCATACAGTATTTTTTTCTGCTTCTGGCCAAGGTGGAAGTAATTGCCTGGATTTACTCTCATGCCTGGGGGGGGAAAATTCAGACACTGAAGGAGAATAATCCCCAAGAAATGGGAAACAAATAAGGTGGGTTTACTGCCTTTCAGTAATTTCCAGTCAGTGGCACAGGGAAGGAGAAACTGAAACAGACCCTGCCAGTCTACCTGGGTTAAGGACTCGGAGCAAGAGTTTAGAGAGGCCAGAGCAGCCTAAGTTCATAGGACAATACCAGGGAGAAGAAAGCTGCACAGAGAACCCAGGTGATTTGCAGAAAGGCTCTCTAGAATATTCAGAACACTGTTCAGCACGTGAGGGTAAGGAAACTAAGGAAGGCTGGGGG